GCTCAGGCGAGGATAGCCTCATCGTAGATCCTACAATATTCACCAAGGCAGAATCATCTATTTGTCTGACAGATAGTGATGTGTCCACCTGGGGATTGGTAGTATCGGTAGCCGGAAGTACTGAGCCCAAATGTTGCGATGAGATTGACTTGGAATTAGCGCCCAATAGTGTCTGATTTTGCTGATCTTGTGGTTCCTGTGCTAGTTCCATAGGGGCTGCGGACGGCAGTGCTTGCAGCTCGACCATAGGCGGCGGAAGTTCGACATCCACACTCTCCTCAGACACGTTATCCAGAGGAGGTTGTAGCTGATGCTGCTGGCCAACACTAGAAGCAGGAGATAAACTGCGATAGGAAGCCCGGCATTGTCGAATAGGGTCTTCACTGTTAGGGGCAGCACTAGTAGGACCATCGGGACTAGGTCTTGGATATGGTGTCTGTATTGACTGTTGAGAAAGAAATGACAAGAAAAACAAATAACTCAAAAGAATTATGAAATTTCGGCTCACAGAATCATAGTTTACTTTCCTCACTACATCATATACAAGCACCTGTATGAGCCAAATTATTTCATTGGACCACACGCAAGCGTTAGCATCAATGATTTTTAATTTAGCATACGCTTTAATAAGAATCGTAATATTGAAAGAATGGTTGAGCGATTTATCTTAGTAACAAGATATTCGCCTTTTATATTAGTAAATTCATCATCAATTTGGTGATTTCTCCATTCGTATACATATCCTTAAGCATGTTAAATAGCGTTCCGTTGATCTTCTAGTTGGGTCTTTGTTTGTAAACATAAATATAATGGCGAAGCATGAAGAAAAATTAGCATATTAATCAAGGAAAATCAAAGGCTCTGTATGAAAATGGAAACCGAAAGATCAAAAGTAGCGTAATACATTTCAGAGACTGAACACAAGATACATCGAAAAGCACCAAAGGGCCCAATTCCGAGAAAATAAATAAAGACTAGGAAGGCCAATGCATCCTTGCATAAAGAAATTTAATGAAAAAGATATTAGAAAGAGATAATTTACCACAATGCTTAGGCAAACTGGGGGCAAACAAAGATATGGCAATTTTATATATACTAAATAGTGAGTTTTGAAGAATTATTTGGTGATTTGCTTCAAAATGGAAGATTATGCCACAAGAGATACGACAATACTAGCAAAACTATCGTTAACCAGAGGAAAAAAGATAACACACAAGCAAAAATAAGACGAACCCTG